ATCTTCCAAACCCTGGGAGCCCTCTGTAATGATCCTTGATGTAGATACAAAGCAGGAGGCTGAAGCACACGGCATCTATTCTGGCTGTGCTCCTCTTTTCTGAAACATCCAAATCTGGATTTCCCTCAGACTTTGGTGTATTTTTAGCTTTGCAGGGAACAGTGAAGGTCCAGGACTCCAGCACAGGGATGAAATCGTTCTTAGCACAGCTTTTAATACCAAGCACTCCCCATCTCTATGCCTTCCACAGCTCACTGAGCCAATTAAACATTATCATCTGCTTCAAGTCTGGGTTCTTTAACAAGTAATTTGTGGCACAACACCAAGTCTCTAGCCTGAGCAAGGAACTTAAGAGACCAATGGATCTACCAGACAGAAAATCAAAAGCCAGGTGAAAAATTCACATTGTTTGAGCTGAAAGCTGCACCCAGCCAATTGTCCTTGGAGTTGCATCAGGATCATGACCCCCGTACTAGATAAAAAAAAAACTTGCTGAGTACAAATGCTCCCCAAATACTGCAGGGCAGTGCAGAAGAAGAAAAGCTACAGATTTACTGCAGTGATATTCAGAATTACAGCATTGCCCATAACACATGATTGGGGCAGCAAGGTATGTTCAGGGAACATCCATCTCTGAATTGCTTCCTTGCTTGTGTAACCCTGGCAGTGGCACTACTCACAGCCATATCCAAATTTTTGGGATCCTGGGGTGCCAATAGATCTTGGTCTACTCCCACTCCATCTACAGGCTGGGAGCACCACTAATTGAAGTGCTGTCCCGTGGTCCTCCCCACAGCAGACCACACACTAAATAACTATTTACAATAATAACCGAGAGACTGACAAATTCAACATCCCATAAATAACAAACAAAATATTTTCAATGAGTTCAATAATAATAAGCATAGAGCAGTGTAATAATAATATACCAGCAAATAAAGCAAATACTTATCATATAACAAAAGCAATTATGTTATCAACTTTAACACTCAGGCAACATATAACAGGTATATATACTTAATCAGCCAGGTCTCCACAAAATCACTCTGCCTGCAGCAAAATAGCCCACTGTGGAGTGGCTGCAGTGGAGCCCCGAGGAGCGGTGCTTGCTCTGCCTCAGAAGAGGGGTGGCGATGCCGTCATCAGGACAAAAGATGGGGGTGCCTGTCAGGACCCCAGGTGTGGCTGCTCTGGAGACCAGGGTTTTTTCCCTTTTTCAGTCTTTTCTGGGTGCCTGCAATCAATCACACCATTCCCCAGACACTTCCCAGGGCAGCTCCCCTGTGTTTGGCACCTGGAGTGCCCCTTCTCAGCTGTACTGTGTTGAGCTCTCTGCTGGAGCTCCCACACAGCTGCAATTCCCTGCTGCTTTCTCTAGCTCTCCCAGAAAACCTCCTCTAGCAACCCCTGTCCATGATTCCCCCCCAGTGACTCCCTGCACCCAGGGACCTTAAGAGTCTGGAGGGAAACCTGTTTGCACAACCCCTGCTCCTTTGGTAAAAATTACCAGGCAATCCTGGGTACTCATTAGCTGGTGGCTCTTCTGCCCTCAGTAGCAGCTCACTCAGTCACAATTCTTCTGCCAGTCATCCTCTCAGAAGCACTTGTCCTGGTAGCAGCCCTTCTCATCACAGCTTCAGCTCCCCTCTCCCCAGCTAGTCTCCCCTGGTTTTTACCCAGCTTCCTGCCCTGGAGTTCCAGCTGTCCGAGCACGTGCATGGATCCTCTGTGCACAGCCTGCTGCACGTCCTTGTCCCAAGAGTGCAAACACCTTGACTGAGCTTGCAAGCTCTGAGGAAACCCTTCAGCACTTTTACACTTGTGAATAATGGTTGGGTGAGAGTTGGGCATCAGCTAAGGCTAAAGAAAGAGCATCAAGGATAACCTGTGACAGAAAAGACCAATTAAATCCTGACAATAATGATTTAGGAGTAGCAAGTTTCTTGCCAGCAGTAGAGGGAAGTGTTTGTAGGAGCTTGTATCTGGCTTTAACTGATAGACAATGGTATACAAATGAACTCACAAAAGAAAAGAGAAGGTTTCTGAAGGTTTCTCAGAAAGGGCTCAGAGTTGATTTGCAGACAAAGATGAAATCTGTGCTGCAGCGACAACTATGAAGACACCAGGCAGACTGGGAAACCCCACTGCAACATTGCCAATCAGGAATGGTTAGGTGGGTTTTCCATGGATCAGGAAGGCCCAGGAAAGTTGTGGGAACTTTGGAACTTACTAACAGAGATTAGTTGCAGCAAGAAATCAAGGAGCTAGAAAATCACTACCTGGATGAGGAATGGGATCAGACAGAGAATTTGGGCAAGAAGAAAATATTGGCAACATTTTCCTACCACATTTGTAATCCACAGAGGTCCAGAGGGAAACGGTTGGGTCCAGCTCAACATAATGCAAAACCTCACTATCTTTGAAGGGAAAAAACTCCCTGGGAGACTTATTTGGCTCAGTTCAACTTTACAGCCCATGAATGGCTCAGAAGATGGTGAGGAACAGGGAGGGCTCCTAGCAATTAACTGGAGTGGCTCAGCTCTATTGATGCTTCTGAAATTCTCCCTGAAAAGAAGACTGTGTTGTCCTGATACAAATCCTTGACATGATTTGGAGCCAGCCACCTATCCAAGCTGAGCTGGACAGAGCAAAGAGGGGAGGAAAAAAAGAACCCCTGCCTGACCTGGCATTGGATCAGTGGAGATTTGGGTTCCTGGCATACCTGATACCAACGAAAACTACCAGGATAAAGTGGCAATGGGTCAATTTGTAGATGCTTAGCTGGACTGGGACTTACAGACCAGGATGAGTGAAAGGAGGCCAAAGACAGCCAGAGAGGCTCTAGAATTTACTTCAGAAATTCAGTCTGTCCCCATAGCAATGCACCAGAAGAGGAGGGCATTACCACTGAGAAAGAAAGAACCTAACTGTTGTGATGATTTTTTCCAACCCCTGCGTACTTTAAATCCATCTTCACACTAATTCTACAGGAGGGTGGGGATTGAACACACAGTATCTTTGCTGGCACTTTAATAGCCATGGTCACTTCCACAAGGTAAAGGCAAGTGGCCAAATGCACTTAAAGCAGGTTAGATCTGCCTTAGCTTGGGACCTGGATAGACTTTTGATGAGTGAGATACTAGGGAAAACTTCCTTACTAGGAGGGTAGTGAAGCACTGGGACAGACTACTCAGAGAAGTGCTGTATTCTCCATCTTCAGAGGTTTTTAAGACCTGGCTATACAAAGTCTTCGCTGGGATGATATAGCTGGGGATGGACCTACTTTGACTTCCTGAGGTCCCTTCCAACCCTCATTTTCTATGATTCTGTGATCCTTGTAAGTACAGCTCTGTATCTAGTACATATGACGGGGAAAGGGATTTGGATCTGGCTAATTTTTCTGGTTATTAAAAGAGGTGATGAATCAGTTCATACAATAATATATATTGGCAGTCATGCAAAGATCAAGGAAGCAGTTCAAGTAAGTACTAGGATTATCAAAAGACTGGCCCAGAAAGAACTATAAGACATAAGGTGGGCCAAGACAGTATGCTGTGTGGAAGCCCCTCACCCCACTAGAGGAATTGTAGACATCAAAGTGAAGGTGCAAGGCTTGGACATACAATTTTTTTAGGGCTGGGCAGTTATAAAGAATGATTAAGTCTGGTATTGAATATATGGTATTAGCTGTGGAATAGTGGATGCTGGGTTTGAGTTAACAGCTATCAGACTTGCACACTAGGGGACAAGGCATACATAACTGAATCATCTAACTCATCTCAAGTGGAGATGGCTGGGGAAGTTGCATCTATCCAAAGTCTGGGAAAGTAGAGAATTCAAGGAAATGGTCCAGAGAGTTGAGAATGATCTCAGCACTGGAAGCTGACAGCCTGCTGGGATTTCATTATGTCTAATAAATCTGTAACAAATACCAAGAGAACAGCTGATTTAGTCCATTACATTATGTGGCCCAGGTGAAAAAAATATGACTTGATTTTAGTATCAGCTGTTACTTTGCTTAATTATTATTCACCTTCTTTCCCAGATTATTCATAAACATATTAAATAGCCTGGTGCCTATTACAGAACCCGGAGGTCCCCCACTATTAACCTTCTCCCTGGATGAAAATGAACCATGTTTTTCCTCCTTTGCTTTCTGCCTCAAACTAAAACCAAGAGTTAAGCAGGGTTATCACTGCTGTGGGATCCTCCAGGTGCTGAGTTGGCTTGTTGGGCAAGACGTCTTACAGTAGTTTTTGAGCCACCAGGGTGTGAGGGGAACAGTACCTTAGGGGTGCTATCCTTTACATCAGAAACAACACAGGCCAAAAGAAGTTGTCCTCATTGACACTCCCTTATCCTTTGTGTGACAGCTGAACACTCCAGCCATGCACATCAGGGTTGAACCTGCCCCTGCAATCTGGGCAATGTTCATCTCCTGCTATGAACTGCTGTTTCCCTGTAGAGGCAGCCATATCTCAGCAATGGGCAAAGTGCTTCTGCCTGGATTGTTTGTGCCATCACTCAGTGACCTTTGCCACCTACTGTGGCATCAGTTTAACTCAGGGGCAGGCAATTATTTTGGGTGGAGAACCGCTTACTGAGTTTTGGCAAGCCATTGAGGGCCACATGACAGGCAGCCAGGGGCAGATAAATACTAATTTTCCAAATTTTTAGGGGCCCCGTGGTCCAGATAGGATGGTCTGGTGGGCCTCATTTTGCACCCCCCCAGTTTAGCTGCATGTTTAAGACTATTAGCCAATGCCTACAGAAAGAACCAAGTGAATGCTTCCTCCTCACCCCTGCCATGGTGGAGGTCTGTCCCCCCACTCTCCTCGCTTGTGGTTAGAGCTTCCTTCAGATCTACAGGTTCACAATGCATAGTGCAGCTTTAACCTGTCATCTCCGCCAGCTGTGCCAAAGTGGGTAGCCCATGTAAATGGGCTGCTTTGCATGCCTTACTTCCTACAGCAAAGCTTTCCCCTCCCTGGCAAACCAGCTTTTCTCTTACTGAAGGCTGCTGACTTCAGCAAGTTAAAAGGAAGCAGATAAACCTGGATTTCTTCTCTCTCCCCAGCATGAGGAATCTCTGCTTGGATTGTGCATCATCTGGGCCTTACTCAGGTAAGATGTGAACAATTCTCTTTGCTTTCTAGAGCCAAATCAAGGGACAAACAGATACTGAGCAAGAAAGAGGAGGCTGTTGAGGCTGTTGAGGCTTATTCAGTTCACTTCCATCAAGTCCATGAACTGAACTGGGAGAGGTTAGAGGGACACATGTAGTTGTCACCATAATACTTAATTAGCTTTTCCCTCTAAATATTGTCTTGCACAGCATTTTTAACATGATCCACCACACAATGTGCTTCAGCTGTCATCAGAAAACCTGCACTGGTGTCCTAAATGTCATTAGCAATCTGTAGCTACAGCCTTGAGAACTGTCCCGCCATCACAACACAGTGTGTGCTATGCAGCCTGCCTCAGCAAAGTTTACTATTAAGCAGTAGAAGCAAACAGTATTTTCCATAAAACCCACTCCGGTATAATATTTATTAATTTGAACCCCAGTCATGGGTGAGAGCATAGTAGGTGCTGTCCATGAACTGGATGACTCCTGCCCTCAAACCATGTGAAATTAAATGCATCCTTGTAAATTTAAGGCATCATGAGCAGGATGAGCTCTTGATAGTTATTATATATAATTCCTAGATATATCCACTGCTCTATCCTACCTGACTGTATACAGTCAAGACTAGAGATGGTCAAATAAGGCTGAAATAGATTCAGTGGGTCACATTCAATTCAATTTTGTTCCTAGAGGTGTAGAAACTGCTGTCTGCCAATATTCTCTTATGAGTATGAGTGAAAGTATTCCCCAGCCAGGGAGGGGGTAGCAGAGACCACAGCAGGTACTGGGGAGAGGACAAGAGGTAGTCAATAAAAAATAACTATGGCTGTGCAAAACAGCCCCGTTTCATTTCAACTTCCATTTTGCCATTTTGATGGGACAATGTTTCATTTCATTTCGAAAGCACTGTTCCGTTTCGTTTCGTCTTAACTGTTTTGCTGTTTCGATGTTTTGCCCATAGGCTATAATGGGGAAGCATGAAAATACCTAAAACTTTGAAATTTCTTGCCTGATTCAGATGAAACTTGCAGGGCTGGTAGCCCCTTCTGAGGGCATGAAGTCTGCCAAGTTTCAAGAAGATAGGTGAAGAGGTTTCTGGAAAACTGCACCTCAAGCTGTTCAAAGCAAAACTTGTGACACTTGCCGGCAGCAGCAGCAGCCTCCTGTCATCCAGCATGCAGATCTGGGGGCCTGCACCCCTGGAAGGGTTGCGGGGCTGCGCCAGACTCCTCCCAGGGGGCGCAGTGCCCCGATCTGCGTGCCGGATGACAGGAGGCTCCCGCTGCCAGCTGGGACCAGCACTGAAGCCAAGCAAGCTGGGCTTCAAAACTCAAAATGTTTAGAAAGTTTCAAAATGTCTCAAGTGCCCTTGTTTTGTTTTGGAGCTGTTTTGAAGGCTTTTGTTTCATTTCAATTTTGCTGTTTCGAGCTTGAAACACATTGAAACAGCTTTGAAACAAAACATCTGGCGAAATTTCGCACAGCCCTAAAAATAACCCAACAAAGGGGCTCAGTTGGTCAGTTGTAGACCCTGCCCAGGCAGCTCTCGACAACACTGGAAGGTCAATGAGTTTTTGTTGACCTGATTGCTTTGGGATCAAGCTCATGGGCTGGAATTTGTGGCTGACAATGCCACAAAGGTAGGCCTGGAAGGGAACCCAGGAGGCTGACTGGTCCAAATCTCAGCTTAGGACAGGGCCACTCCTATCCAAACCAGCCCATACAAATATTTGCAGGCTTGTGAAGAGGTGCAACCCGGGTTTGAATTACACTTCTACTCTTGCAAAAAAAGTTGGCTGGAATTGGGGCTGTGTGTGTGGGTCCTCACCAGTCCCATGGGGCTGGGACCAATGGCAGTGGCAGCCAGAAGAAGCCACTGCTGCCTGTGCTGCCTAGAAAGGTGTGGGGCAGGCTGGGGCTGTGTGCAGTGGTGCATTGGCTTTAGGCTGTTGTGGGAGGCAAAGGGGTGCTGACTGGCCCGTGGGGGGAGGGGGCTCTCATCTCTTATAGGGGGGCTCTTGTCTCTTATGGGGGGAGAGGGAGGTGCTCAGCCCCTCCAAGCTCCCTGTAATTTAAACCCTGGGTGAGAGGGAGCTGTACCTCTTGCCTCAGTACACACACACACACACACACACACACACACCCACCCACCCTGCCCATCAATGCATGTGGGCTGAGATTTCCCTGGAGCCAGCTGTCCTTGCATTGGCTCTTTTGCAAGTAGCCCCTGCAGGGGGAGAGTTTGCAAGTAGCTCCTGCACCACCCCCACTTTGCAAAGCCCATGGCTGAGGTCAGGTTGTGGCACAAAGTGGGTTCTAAGCTTGCAGCTGTTATTTTCAGGGTCTGCTTGGTGCCCATTTTAAGGTGTCAACCTGAATGCTTGCACCGCTGCGAGGACCTGCTGCAATGGACTCCCAGGAGGAGCTGGCCCTGGAGATGGAGTGTGCCATCTGCTACAGCCAATACAACAATGCCTTTCATGCCCCCAAGGTGCTGCAGTGCCAACACACCTTCTGCCTGGAGTGCCTGGCCCGTATCAACGTCAAGTGCCAGCTGCCAGACACTATCCAATGCCCCATGTGCCGGTCCTACACCAGGCTCCCAGACAGCGGGCCTCCCAAGCTAGACAACAACCTTGCCATCCTATCTTGCCTTCCAAAAGGCATGAATAGGACCTGCAGCATCCACTTCAGCCGCAGCAAGGGCAGGCTCTGGCTCAAGCAACTGCCTGAGGTCTCCCATGGGACTGTGGTGCCACAGATCTGCATGAGCAATATCAGCCACAGCTTGGACGTGGGCCGCCCACCATGGCAAGAGAACCAGCTGCACCAGGAGGATCAGTGGAGCCGCTGGAGCTGCTTGGACAAACCTTTGTGCCGCACTCTCCTGGTGGTGGCAGTCATGGTCACAGTCACCCTCATCATCAGCTCCACCCTGTTCTTCATTCTGCCTCCTTCCAGCAGAGCCAGTCACAACATGACAGCTCTCAGCCCACTTGTGGCAACCGACAGCTCCCCCTGAGTGTCTGCCACCAGGAAGCTGAGAGGAGCAGGGCTGGCTCTGGGCAAAAAACTGTTCAGGATGTGCCCCTTTCTCACAGCTGAGTCTTTGCTCTGCAGGAGGAAGGAGTCAGGCCATTCAGCCTCATTCCACATTGTTATGTGCAGCTGGGTCTGGTGGGGAGCGGCTGAGGCTGTTATGAGATTGCGATCGAGCCAGGTGCCAAGTTTGGAGTCATCACTGCATCTGCACTTGTTGAGGGTTATGGCCTGGGCCCAGCTTTCCCTTCATTCAGTCTGAGCTCTCATCCTCTGAGGGATGTAGCACAGTGGTGGGGCTGAAGTGCTGGGCTAGGACTGCAAAGCCTGTGGTTGCCAGCCTGGCTGGGCCATGGGGCCAGTGAGCGTGCTGCCCTCTGCTACTCCTACCTGCAGGGTCACAGCCTGTAGGGAGTGCTCTGAGTCCTCTGGATGGCTGTGGAGGTGGCTTGTTAGCCCCGCTTCCTCCCTGTCTGACTCACCACTCCTGAGTTTCAACAGTGCCACAAGACCAGTATCTCTGAGCACTCAGATCTCCTCTCTTCCAACCAAGCAGATACCCCCTGTGTACATAGATAGATGAGGTCAAGCACCTTACACTTCTGTTTGGTAGGCAGCTGCCATGGCTACCAGATAGTCTGTCTCTGCTACAGGGATATGGCCCAAGGAGAGAGTCAGCATTGGAGCAGGTGATCAGAGAGGGGAAAGGACCTTAGGGAAAAATGGGGACAATAGAAAGACATCTTCAGGAGAGAGGAGACTGACATGAAACATGGGGTTTTGAATCCAAGGGACTCAGGTAGCCTGCACTCTGGAACAATGTGGGGGCAACACTTAGCTCAGGACAGGCAGTGCTTCTCTAGGATGGTGGCTGGGACAACAGCAGTGTTTGTTCCTGTGCTCTTCCTGTAACCATGAGGTTTCCTTAGCCACAGCCTTGGATGAGAGGCACTGGAGAGGGGAGGCTACTTAAGTGGCTCTGGGAATGGCCAGGTGCCCTCCAGTGCTAACACATAGTGACAGTAACCTTAGACACACCATGACTGACTAATGATATTTTTATTTCTTTCTTGTATTGTGGTAGTACCTGGGAGTCCCAGCCACGGACCCAAACCCATGGTCTGAGGGCTGTACAGCTCCTAATAAAGAAACAGTTCCTGTCCCTGGAAGCCCACAGGAGTAGTGTGCATTATTCTTTACAAGCTACAGAGATCCCCAGACAGAGACAAGCACTGAGAAGCCCTGTCAACAGTAACACCTTGCAGGTTTCTGAAAGAAGTTCAGCCCAAAGACTTTTTGTTCCATGGAGTCTTCTTTTATTGGCCCTTTCTGAGGCCTTTAAAATGTCCCCATTGTGTGTGGCTTTGAATCTATAGATATTGGAGAAGAGTTATTTCAATTCCCTGGCTAAGCATTACTGATGATAACACGCAGCACGCATGTATTCATGACTAACTCCACACAGCTGCTCCTACAAGCTGGATCATTTGAAAAATAGGGAAACTTGGGCCAAAAGGGATTTGTGTCCACATTTCCACATCATAATCTAAGGAGGCAGGTGTTAGCATCTTAGAAAAAGCAGATCTTGGGTTGGGCACTGAAGAGGAGAAGGACCCAAAAGTATGGACAACAGATGGTGGTCTCCACAGAGTCAGGAGTGATTCAAAAACTATTTAATTAAACTGATGCCAGAGACTGTGCTGGAGACTGCTGGGCTTATTTCAGTTTAACTTAAGCTGATTGCCAAATGACTGAGGCTAAGTGGGAATGAATCGGCAGTTTGTACCAATGAAACAAAAGGGGTTTAAAAGTGGTTTGCACTAAAACAGAGCAACTTTCTGATGTAACCCAGACCTTGGCCAAGGTCAGAATGCCAGGAGAGGGGCCCAGGCCTGAGCATTTAAACACTGGGCCAAGGGGCCCAACATCTTACCCTGAGCTTAAAATCAGGGATAGGAGATTGCCTGTCAGCTGCCTTTGGCCTCTTGTAAGATGATACCCAAGCAGCACATTCAACTGCAGTGCTGGGGAGAACACGGAGACAGCACAAAGCATCAGTGTGGGAGATGGCTGGAAAGACCCAGTGTGCAGAGGACGCTTCCTTCCCCTCTTCAGTCCCTTGCCTTAACTTGTGCTTATCTAATTTGAATCACAAGCTCCTGCCTCCCCATGCCATCTGCCCCCGTGAGGGGCCCTGCCACCAGAGGATCCAAGTGTTTTAGCCGTGGAGCATAAAACACAAGAACCTTGTCTGAGCTCATTTAAGGCAGACTGCAAACAGTCCTAAATCAATCATCTTCTCTTGCCGGCCCTGCCCATACACCACGTGTCCCAGCCTCCTCTTGTGCCATGACCTCATTCCCAGGACAACAGCTACTATAACATGCTGCTACCAACTTACTCCAGAGCCATGCACACAGGGAAATGAATCAAATGAGGAGAGTCATGGACAAGACTTGACATGTGCTAGTGATAATGGAGCCGAACCCTTCGGAGCTGGGATGCCTTTGGGATTGGGCTCCAGACTATTCTAATGGATCCATTGCATGTTTACTCTAGAGACCAGGGTGATACCAGACTCTCAGCAAGAGGATCTCGGCTATGAATATGTTCTCAGGGGGTCCCTCCAGGCCAAGCGCTTCCTGGAAATTTCTACGGAAACTTAAAAACATAGACCACCTTCCCAGCAACACACTCCTAGCCACCATGGACGTTGCCAGCCTATACACCAACATCCCACACCAGGATGGCATCCAAGCCTGCCTTACACATCTACAGGAACAAGATTACAACCCAGAATACAGACCCAAAGATATTACTGATCTTATACACTTCATCCTCACACACAACAATTTCACTTTTAATAATCAACACTTCCTCCAGATGATGGGAACAGCTATGGGCACTAAAAGGGCCCCACAGTATGCCAACCTTTTTTATGAGCCACCTGGAAGAAGACTTCCTCAAGAACTGCACCATCAAACCCTTACTATACCTAAGATACATCGATGACATCTTCATCATTTGGAGTGAGAACCTGGAATCTCTACTTGAGTTCCACCAGAAATTCAACAGTCACCATCCCTCCATCCGACTTTCTTTAGAATACTCCA